CATCTACTTTATGACAACGGAGCTGAAAGATCAAACTTTGTTACATCCTCCATACAGTTCGGACTTATCTCTAAGCAATTTTTCGGCTGAATTAAGTATCAAAGATTCAGTGAGGTGCAGATAATTTCAAAGCCGTAATGCAAATGGAAGTGCAAGTTTCCAGGGTATGAGCAACGTACCAAAACGTTAATACAAATAACAATTTAAAAATAAACAAACTAAGAGTATGAAGGTAGAAGAGAACTAATTTAAGTGGAATCACTGACATACTGTTCACTAAATTACAAAATATGTAGAGGTGTGGTACATTGAGGGTATGCAATTAAGTACGACGTTAATTGCCTTACTATTCACTAAATTACAAAATATGTAGAGGTGTGGTACTTTGAGGGTATGCACTGACGTACTGTTCTCTAACTTAGAAAATGTGTAGAGGTGTTGTACTTTGAGGGTATGCATTAACTTACAAAATAGGTAGAGATGTGGTACTTTGAGGGTATGCATTGTCGTACTTTTCACTAGCTTACAAAATATGTAGAGGTGTGGTAATTTGAGAGAATGCACTGACATGCTGTTCACTAACTTAGAAAATTTGTAAAGGTGTGATACTTTGAGGGCATACACTAACGTACTGTTCACTACCTACGAAAATGTGTAGAGGTATGGTACTTTGAGAGTATGCACTGACTTAGTGTTCATTAACATGGAAAATGTATAGAGGTGTGGTAATTTCAGGGTATGCACTGACGCACTGTTCACTGAGAAAATGTTTAGAGGTGTTGTTCTTTGAGGGTATGCACTGACGTACTGTTCACTAACTTACAATCTAGGTACAGGTGTGGTACTTTGAGGGTTTACAACGACGAAGGGTTCCCAGAGAAAATGTGTAGAGGTGTGGTACTTTGAGGGTATGCGCTAACATAATGTTCACTAATTAAGAAAATGTGTAGTGGTATGGTACTTTGAGGGTAAGCACTGTTGTACTGTTCACCAACTAAGAAAATGTGTAGAAGTGTGGTACTTTGAGGGTTTGTTTGTTTGTTGTTGGGCTTAACGCCATTTTTCAGCACACGATAGGCTATTCATGACGGCCAGTATTAATGGTGGAGGGTATTATTGACGTACTGTTCACCAACTTAGAAAATATGTAGAGGTTTTGTATATCGAGGATATGCATTAACGTACTGTTTACTAACTTACAAAATAGGTAGAGGTGTGGTACTTTGAATGTATGCATTGACGTACTTTTCACTAGCTTAAAAAATATGTAGAGTTGTGGTATATTGATGGTATGCACTGACGTACTGTACACAAACTTAGAAAATATATAGAGGTGTGGTCCATTAAGGGTTTGCACTAACTACGTAAATGTGTAGAGGTGTGGTATTTTGAGTTTATGCACTGACGTAATGTTCACTAACTACGAAAATGTGTAGAGGTGCGGTACTTTAAGGGTTTGCAGTGACGTACTGTTCACCAACTGAGAAAATGTTTAAAGGTGTTGTACTTTGAAGGTATGCACTGACGTAATGTTAACTTGTTTAGAAAATATGTAAAGGTGTGGTACTTTGAGGGTAAGCACTGACGTACTGCTCACTGAGAAAATATGTAGAGGTGTAACACTTTGAGGGTATGCACTGACGTACTGTTCACTAACTGAGAAAATGTGTAGAGGTGTGGTACTTTGAGTGTATGCACTGACGTACTGTTCACTAACTTACAAAATATGTTGAGGTTTGGTACTTTGAGGGCATGCTCTGACGTACTGTTCACTAGCTTACAAAATATGTAGAGGTGTCGTACTTGAGTATATGCACTGACGTACTGTTCACCAACTGAGAAAAAGTTTAGAGGTGTGGTATTTTGAGGTTATGCACTGACGTACTGTTCACTGAGAAAATATGCAGAGGTTTGGTACTTTCAGAATAAGCACTGACGTACTGTTCATTATTTTAGAAAATTCGTTTAGGTGAGGTACTTCGAGGGTATGCACTGACGTACTGTTAACTAAATTACAAACTAAGAAAAAGTTTGGTACTCTGAGGGTATGCAATGACATAATGTTCACTGACAAAATGTGTAGAGGTGTTGTACTTTGAGGGTATGCACTAACGTACTGTTCAGTATTTTAGAAAATTTGTAGAGGTGAGGTTTTTTGAGGGTATGCACTGACGTACTGTTCACTCAATTACAAACTAAGAAAAAGTTTGGTACTTTGAGGGTATGCAATAATGTTCACTGAGTAAATGTGTAGAGGTGTTGTACTTTGAGGGCATGAACTGACGTACTGTTCCATAACTTAGAAAATGTGTAGAGGTGTCTTACTTTGAAGGTATGCACTGACGTACTGTTCAGTAAATGGGAAATTGTGTGGAGGTGTTGTACTTTGAGGGTATGCACTGGCGTAATGTTCACCAACTGGGAAAATGCTTAGAGGTTTTATAATCTGAGGTGCACTGACGTACTGTTCACTAACTTAAAAATATGTACAGTTGTGGTACTTTGAGGTTATGCACTGACGTACCGTTCGCAGAGAAAATGTGTAGAGGTGTGGTACATTGAGGGTGTGCATTGACGTACTGTTCAATAACTTAAAAAATGTGTAGAGATGTGGTACTTTGAGTGTGTGCACTGACGTACTGTTCACCAACTGAGAAAATGTTTAGAGGTGTATTACTTTGAGGGTATGCAATGCCATAATGTTCACTGAGAAAATGTTAAGAGGTGTGGTACTTTGAGGGTATCTACTGACTCACTGTTCATTAGTTTAGAAAATTTGTAGATGTGAGGTACTTTGAGGGTATGCACTGACGTGCTATTCACTAAATTACTAAATAGGTAAAGGCGTGTTACTTTGATGTTATGCACTGACGTACTGTTTAGTACCTTAGAAAATGTGTAGAGGTTTTGTACTTTGAGTTTATGCACTGAGGTTCAATAACTTAGAAAATGTGTAGAAATGCTGTACTTCGAGGGTATACATTAACGTACTGTTCACTAACTTACAAAATAGGTAGACTAGTGGTACTTTGAAGGTATGCATTCACGTACTGTTTACTAGTATATAAAATATGTAGAGGTGTGGTACATTGAGGGTTTGCACTGATTTACTTTTCACTAACTTAGGAAAGGAGTAGAGGTGTGGTATTTTGAGCTTATGCACTGACGTATTGTTCACTAATTTAGAAAATGTGTAGAGGTGTGGTACTTTGAGGGCATTCGCTGACGTACTGTTCACTAACTGGCAAAATGTTTAGAGGTTTTGTAATTTGAGGTGCACTGACGTACTGTTCAATGACTCAAAAAATGTGTAGAGGTGTGGTACTTTGAGTTTATGCACTGGCGTACTGTTCACTAACTTAGAAAATATGTAGAAGTGTTGTATTTTGAAGGCATGCATTAACGTACTGTTCACTAACTTACAAAATAGGAGAGGTGTGACACTTTGAGGGTATGCACTTACGTACTGTTCACCAACTGAGAAAATGTTTAGAGATTTGGTAATTTGAGGTGCACTGACGTACTGTTCACTAACTTAAAAAGTATGTAGAGATGTGGTACTTTGAGGGTATGCACTGACGTACTGTTCACTGAGAAAATGTGTAGAGGTGTAGTACTTTGAGGGTATGCACTGATGTACTGTTCATTATTTTAGAAAATTTGTAGAGGTGATGTGCTTTGAGGGTATGCACTGACGTACTGCTCACTAACTTAGAAAATGTGTAGCGGTGTGGTACTTTGAAGGTACTTTGACATACTTTTCACTAACTGAGAGAATGTTGAGAGGTGTTGTATTTTGAGGGTATGCACTGACGTACTGTTGACTGAGAAATGGATAGAGGTATGGTACTTTGAGGGTATGCACTGACGTACTGTTCACTAACTGAGAAAATGTGTAGAGGTGTGGTACTTTGAGGGCACGCACTGATGTACTGTTCACTAACTGGGAAATTATGTGTAGGTGGATCAGAATTATTTTGAGGGGATGCACTAAGTAATGTTCACTAGCAAATTATGTGGAGGTGAGTGAATAGTACCTTGAGGGAATGAATTGACGTACTGTTCACAAAAAAATTATAACGGCATTATTATTCAGAACGTATTATAAGACTCTCATAAACCAAATAGTTATTCGTGGTCTATCTAATACTATGAGTATACCAATTTCAACATAACCTGATCAGCGGGGAAAAGTAGAGACGTACATTAGTTTATCTTTGAGCAAATTTTGGGCAGCGTTTTCAAAGCTAGCAAAATTTATTTGAACAGACGAAATTAACAGCATTTTAATTGTTAAAAAAAATCCTGGAAATATTGATATCCTAACTAAATTATGTGATTCGTTGGTTATACACATTTTTTTTAAAAAAAGAGAACAGTGGACTGAGTAATTTCACAATAAACTATGAAAATCTCTCGTGAACATTAAATCTTTTACTCCATATGTTTACAATTTATGCAGTAGATTTATATTTGATATTTTCACCAAGGGCAATTATATAGGGTAACATTGTGTGACAAACTAGTGATCTTTCAAACATTTTGTATAAATTATTCTTATTCCTCACGGTTTTCAGATTAACATTGGTTTCATGCAATGGATAAATGCAGTGGATTGACAATGGTTTGGGGTTAATCAAGAAAGGTTTTTTAATATGGGAGCTTGTATAAATATTTTACAAATTTGAAAAACATGCACATTTAGAAACATTCATAAGTATTCAACAAATGTTGATACTAAAACCATTAAAAATGATTATCACTCTAAATTCTATCAGAGCGCGCATGTGTTTGTGTGTGTGATTTGGATTTTAAACGTAGCTTCAACAATTTCTCACTCATAAGCTATGTCTGCAGTATGGCAGTTTATAGTGGTGTCTACCACTAAGGCATCATGCCGCATTATCCTGACACCAAGCCGACCCGTCTTAACATGAAACTCTAAATGATGCGCGCCTAGCTAGGCAACAATTAGCACTATCTTTTATAAGTTTTTGGTAAGACTCGGGAGGGATTCGAACCCGAGACCTTCCGCATACGGAGCGGACGCTCTAACCACTAGGTCACCGAAGCGGTCAAATTATATTAGTCACTTTTACCTTAGTCACATAATATATATTTAGGTAGATTTAGAGGTATAAACCAAAGATTATCTATAGAACAGACGATTCTTTAACATAGACTATCGTGGGTATATAAGCTTGCAAATAGCTTCTTGTAGGTCGGTGGTTCTTTCCGGGGTTTTCCCCGAGTTCTTCCTCCACCATTAATACTGGCCACCAAGTATAGCTTATCTTGTGCTGAAAAATGACGTTAAACTCTACAACAACACAAAAACAACACAGACTATCTGTAGAACTGTTGTTTCTGTTACAATGATTATTGGTGGTACATTCGTTTCCTTAACACTGATTATTGTAGTACAGCAGTCTTTTCTTTAGCACAGACTATGTGTAGAACTTTAACACCGATAAGAACGTTCGTTTTTTTAACACCGACTATCTACAGAACTGTCGTTTTCTTGATACAGCTTTTCTGCAGAACTGTCTTTTCTTTAACACTCATCATCTATAGAACTGTCGTTTCTTTAACACAGAATTTTTGCATAACTGTAGCTTCTTGAACAGATTTTTTTGTACAACTTCGCTTCTTTAACAAAGACTTTGTATAGAACCGTCGTTTCTTTAACAGATTATTTGTAGAACCATCGTTTCTTTAGGACGGATTAAATGTATCACTGTTGTTTCTTTAACATGTATCTGTAAAATTGTCGATTCTTGAATACAGATTACGTGTAGAACTCGTTTCTGTAACACTTTATCTGCAGGACTGACGTTTCTTTAAGCGAGAGACTAGTAAGAAATTTTAACTTACATATATTGGCAAATTTTGTTTTCACTTTATTCCGACAAAATAAGCAGATATCTGGATTTTCGTCTATACTTTTCCTTGATGTATTTTCATGCACGGGTTTTGTATGGTACTCAAATCATCCATGATGCATATTTCTGCATGGGTTTATTCATCATGCATGTTTCTACACGGGTAAATCCATGATGCATATTTCTACACGGATAATGCATGTAATTCAAATTATCAATGAAGTATGTTGATAGACGGGTTTTTATGCTAACCAAATTGTCCATGATTTGCAAAGTATTACACTGGGACCATACAAACATATAGATAATAGCTATATTTTTTATTTCCTGTGCTTTCTGATGGGTATTGTTTTGATGATGTTCACCATTTAATATGAATTTAAACTGACTGTTTGCTTTTTGTTTGTATGTTTTATACCTCATTCCCCACCGAAAACTTGCTTATCAACAAAAGTTAAATTTTCAAAAGTTGATTAAAACACATGGTATAGAGTTGGTCATAAAACTAATATAATTGTCATTACTTCAGGGACCAGAAAATCACTTCTTTAAATTATTATAAACACCAATCGTTATGTTTTGTTTTCCATCACCATGCCAAATTCAGGACATTTACGTAAGAGTGCTGAATGATATTGATTCCAAACTTTTGAAAAATCCATAAAGTGTTCTATTTCTTTTAATCATTAAATATAGTTCGTGAATACTGGTATCTTGTTATTCCATATGAATTCCAATAGTGTACCGAATGACGTCTAATAATCAAAGTGCTGATGTGCGAATACCCTGGAATAGTGTTGATGTGTTGAGAGTCGTGATGAATCACACTGATATAACCTAAATGTCTCTAAATTAAATCACATTAATTCACAATAATCCAAAAAAAATATTTAGTCCAAAATTATTAATGAGTACATTGTCATTCCAAAGAATAATTTAAATAAATAATTCTCTCAAAATTGAAACAGAACACTACTAATAGACTGATTCCTCAATTCAGATCTATATAAGCAAATCTAATATATAAACCTAAGTCACAATAAGAGAATCAGTATAATATGTCATCATGATGGAAATTTCCATCAAACTGTAAAGAAAAATTGGTTTACAAAGGCGGAACCACGTGACCCATAACTAAAACGCTGGATGGCACTACAAAGCCCGCCATAAACTTTAATGAAACGAAATATTAATAAACGAAACAAAAGTTGAAGTCCATAGGGTTTCCTCGTTACAGTATATTATTGTTTCGCTAAATTTGGCAAACGTAATATCTGATTTATTCGGTAGGTAAAAACAGCAGGTTTTGTTTTTGTATCAAAACATATTTTTATATTCAGGTTTTATAATCATTTGCTTGCACATGTTTTGTAATGTTTGTAAGAAAATCAGACGTTATGGAAAGTGTGTTGAACGTACTTGCCTCGTGTTCGGAAATTTTATTTTTGTTCCATGCGGAAATGTTTTTTTTTTTGGTTCTATATAGAAATTATTATTTTTGCCAAAACTATGGGAATAATTACTTGCATTATTGAGTAACAGGAAGCTAAAAATACAATCAATACATTTTGACTATAATGAATGTTAACTCTGACATATCTGCGCCACTAACAAGAATAAATGTATGTATCTGTCTTTCTCCAGTAATTTTGGAGTGTCGGGTTTCTCTGATACTGTGTAAGGGCTACGCCAATGTGATTGATATAATCGTACAAAGAAAGTTATATGCATGACAAGAATATAAAGAAAACATACACCTAGGGATTATAGGTTGAATAACTGAGAATATTATAAAAACACTTAAAGAGTATACATTGAATATATGACACTATTAAATAGACACCTTGGGATTATAGGTCAAAACACCTGAGATATTAAACACCCACCAAGAGGTTATAGTTTGAATACCTGAAACTATTAAACAGAGCAATTAAGGAGTTTGACATTCATTCTGCAAAATAAGTTTCATTTTGCAGCATGTTTACTATCAGCCATTTGCCTTTATTCACCCCTCCCACGAATTAATTTATTTTATTTGCATTCTAGTATCTGCGTGTCCGTTACAGTGTTCTTGTACTTTAGATTACCATAGAAATCTATTGTTGGGTGCAGACAGACTGTAATTTCCAACAATAAATCAGATTCAGTTTTTATGTTTCATTCGTTCCATATTTTAATTTTATTGACTTAGTATTGGGATCCAGCAATTTTCTTTCCTACCTGAATGAAGGTAGATCAAATTACCAGCACAAAATAATCGTCTTCTTATAACCCCCGTTGAATTTAACGCTGGTCCCAAATGACTGCTATTAAACAGTGTTAACCCAGTAAGGACATTGTTTATGTCACGCTTATTGAAAGATGTTTCGTCAATAATGCAACGTTAAATTATAACTTAGACATCAAATCCCTTATTCTCAAATGAATTTGACATTGACAAATATACATCTGTACGCGAAGTCTGTTACAAAATCTATCGTTGAGGCCAAATTGATATTGATCTGTGATTATTCCAAATGATGAACGCTAAGGAAAAAATAAAACCATTTCAACATTGATTTTTGATTCATTAATCTAAATTAAGGCTCGGTCACAGAAACATATTATGAGAACGGATAGGATTAATGAGTATTGGATGTGTATTAAAGAAACAGAGAAGCAAAATCACGAATTTTATGGCATCCAGGCTGTCATACATTATGAAAGTCTTTCTCCTTGAGGCAGACTGTTGCTTGAAACACTGAAGAAAGCTGTAGGAAATATTAAAATATTAAATTTTGCATGGAGAATATCGAGACATACATGAAATTGGAAAAGGTATGAATTGTTAACTGCATGCTAATTATAATGTAGATGTAGGTAAATTTGTTTGTTGGAGTTTTCGAAAACGAACTAAGAAAACAAATATTCCAATTATGCTATACGTATCAATTCCGCACATCTTGTAAATAAAGCCACGGGTTAAAATTGTTTTCTTCAGGAAGTAGTTGTAATTATTCATTAATTATTTTCCAAGTTTCATTAATGATTTTTCTTTCTTTCTTTCTTTCTTTCTTTCTTTCTTTCTTTCTTTCTTTCTTTCTTTCTTTCTTTCTTTCTTTCTTTCTTTCTTTCTTTCTTTCTTTCTTTCTTATCATCCTAGCAGCAGTAGTTTCTTTTGTTCCTTTTTGCTACCATTCATGTATATGTTACTCTAGACTAAAAGAGTGTGCTATATAATCTACACTTTTTTGAGGTATGAAAACTTTTATAGGATTTTGAAGGGAAAAAACTGAATATAATGTCCAGCCATTTTATTTCTAAATGTAAGCTTTGAATCTAGTAATGTGTTAGCGAACCTAAACACGCAAACAATTTCCCTTATCCTCGAAACTAAACAAAGAGATGAATTTAGTTTTTGTTTGGAATTTGCTTTTATAAATCAATTGCCTATGACAAACATTTGTACATGAATATTTCGTTTGCTTTTCAATTGTGCGTTAATCTACACCAGTTTTAAACAAAAAGTGATATAATTTGGTAGTCTTCAAATAAAGAAACAATTTCATTGACTTTTATGTTTCACTCATAAAGTTGTCATTCCCCAATCTATCTATTTATATAAATGCTACTTATTTATCAGATTTTCATCTAACTTAAGAATTTCTTTTTACAACTGGTAATACCACCATACCACAATCTCTCTCTCTCTCTCTCTCTCTCTCTCTCTCTCTCTCTCTCTCTCTCTCTCTCTCTCTCTCTCTCTCTCTCTCTCTCTCAAACATAAAATTAGATTTTAAAAAAAAAAACAACGCTACTTTCTTCTAAAGTTAAAAAGGTCGCACGTTGGAAAAACTTCATTAAGATGGCATATTAATCAAGACATTGTTAACAATGATCGAATCAACTTTCTGCTTTCTATATTTTTTTTTAACTTACTATAGCTATTTTGAAAAATTAAGAATAATTACAGAACTTAAAAGATGGTATTGTCCGCAATATGATTTAGGTCAATCTGCACACGTTTATTTCTCTATCTGTATTTCCACAACATTGACCAAAAAGAACTGTAGATGTGGTCAGCATATTACTTATACGTTCACAAATGTAGTCAATCTATGAAACAGAAAACAAATTCTGTCGAATATTCATATTTGCTCACTTTTCAATTGTTTGGTTATGATGGTTACCGAGAAAAAGAAAACATACTAT